TATATACAAAATTTCAACGTTCTGAGGCTACTCGTTTTTGAGTTATGCGAGATACGTACGTAAGTACGTACATACGTTCGTACAGACGCCACGAAAAATTCTCTTCAGAATTCATTTTAAAGCAGTTTCATAATTTTTTGGAGGAAACGAGTCTTTTATTCTGTCCTTACGTACAGGTATCACGCAAAAACATCGTTAAATTGCATTCGATAGCGGGTCAAAATGGATAGTTTCGTTGAAATATGCTGCCTGAAACTTTTCGCGATTACAGTACTTCCTTTTTACTTCGTACAAGGAAATAAAAAAGACAGAAAGAAATTTTAGAGAACTTTCTGTTTGTAAAATTTGTTTTTCTTTCAGTTTTAAATTAAGAATAAGATAATTTTTCCTCCCTGAGTGCGGTTTTATTAAAACAAATTGATACCAAAGAATTGTTGCCAACAAATTGTTTTATCTGTAGCCAGTTTTATTTGGAGCGGCAGTCTCTTTCATTCTTTTCCAACATTAACTATATTTTTCTTTCATAAATTTAATAATAAGAGAAAAAATCTGATGTGTTCAAAACATGACTTCGTTGTAAAGAATATTTAATTACACGTACTTTTTCGTGCATTTTATCATTTAATTGAAATAAATTTACTTCGGTGATAGCGCATAAACCACAAAAGAATAAATGCGTTTTTTAAAATTCACCATATTTATTTACCATAACGACACTCTGGCGCTAGGTTCACTTAACAGTGTTATATCTCAATCAATTTATAACTCAGTATGTAAACAAATTATATCATCTGAAGAATTATTTAATCGTTGTCATATGTTCTATTCAAATACTAAACTAAATCTAAAACAATGTATAAAAGAAATTAAACAAATAAAAAATAAACAGTTTTTCACAGACAATATAGCGCTAATTACCTTATGTGCATGCATTACTCGTAAACATTCTCCTTTGTCCGAAACACGCTGATGACAGTATTTTCTGCTAAACACTTATTTCCTCGAATTTCATTAGAGCTATATTTCTCAGTCAATTAATTCAGTTCTCACTTCGCGACAAGGCAAAAATACACAAAATCCCAAAATATTTATATTAAAAATTGAAAGATATAAAAGAACATAAAACACCAAATACAGTTAAAACAATTTAAAAAATTTTTTCAATTAAAATTACGGTTTCTAGCAAGCAATTCGGCCAGCGGGCAAAACACAGATTTTTCGGTGCACAAAACTGAAAGTTTACTTTTGGTCTCACTCGGTACAAAGACACCGAAGGCGTAGAAACTGATTTAACTTGATTTGGACGCTATGCTGAGTTAATATATGGTATAATTTAATAATTTACATGATAATTCCAGAATGGATTAAGCATAAATTAATTTGCAATAATAAAAGAAGGCAATAATTTGTTGTTGCGAATCTTAGTTGCTCTAGATTGGCAACAAATCCACTATTCTGCTAAGTTTAAAATGTAAACAAATATGGCAGCTATGGGGAAAAATTAGGCTTAGCAGCACTTAAACAACTTTTAAATTGTGGATAATTCCACAATTATTGCATGCAGGTTAACTAAAGGCATAAAAACTTTAAACCAGAAGATAAAAACAACATAATGCAATCATTTTTAAAGGAAAAAGTGGATAATTTACAAATAAATAAGAATAAAGAAGCTGAGCTCACTGTGCCGAAAAACAGAGTGGATATATATATATATATATATATCCACTCTGTTACTTGGTTATATATATATTTATATACTTTTGGTGCTGCCGATTGCAACGAAAACGGGAGTAGTACATCTACAGGTTATAGCAGTCTCACATACAAAATTTCAACGTTCTGAGGCTGTTCGTTTTTGAGTTATGCGAGATGCATACATGCATAAACAACGAAAAAATCTCTTCTGAATCCATTTTAAATCAGTTTTATAATTCGATCTGAGAAAAAGAGTCCTTTATTCTGTTCTTACGTCACGCAAAAACATCGTTAAATTGCATTCAATAACGGTCAAAATGGATATTTTCCTTCACTTCGTACAAGGAAGTAAAATGTCCTCGATGCGTATTTTAGAAACACGAAAAGTATATATTGTTACGGATTTTATATTTAGTTAGCTATTTTTAGTAGAATTATAATTAAAATTGTTTTTTATACCCGTGCAATGCAGCACGAGAATTATTTTTTTAAGAGAAAGCTACGCTGAAAAAGTAAAAATACAGGAGCACGCGCATTTAACATTTAATAAATAGATATCTCGTAATTTATATGTAAATTGAATAAATGTAATTGATTACTGTGCTAGCTGTAACCGTAATTCTACTCTTTTGTTTTCCAGAATCCTTGAAAAAACCGAATTTACTAGAACCTTCTCGAGACCGATTAAAATGCTTTGAAATGCCGGAGAGAAACATGTACGAATATCTTTGAGGAAAAATCCAGCGTTTTGTTATATTTCTTGTGATAAAGAATAAATTTTATTAACTTTTTATCGAAAACCACCGGTTCCAGATAAAAATGCAAATCTTGTACGGCAAATACGTAAGCGTACACGTGTGTGTAGGTGAAGCCAGCAGAAAAACAGGCTTTATAACCGTGTGGAGGGTAAGACGAAGTGTGTTTGCTAGCACACCTCGGCGAATTTCTTGGTGTTATCTTGCAGCAATCGGTTAAATTCACATCGGAACAGTAAAAATGAGTAACCACCAACGTTTAGATGAGGGAATGAGGTGGCGAATTGTGGGGAGGCTAGAGGCAGGCCAATCTCAAGTCCAGATATGCAGAGAGTTTAATTTAACGCCCAGCATCGTGTGTAACCTATGTAAACAGTTCCAGGATACTGAATCCATCGAGAGAAAGCCTGGGCAAGGTCGTCCAAGAGCCACGACGGCCAGAGAAGATCGTTATTTGTCCATTTTAACGAGACGTAACAGAGGGGCTACAGCTTCTCAGTTCTCTCGGGACCATTATGCAGCCACAGGAACCTGTCTAATAAGGGTGACTGTTTCCAAAAGACTGAATGAGTTAGGGTTGTTTGCCAGAAGGCCGGCTGTTTGCATCCCGCTCACGTCTACGGACAGGAGAATCCGATTAGCATGGTGCAGGCAGCATAGTAGTGATTGGAGTACGAAGCAATGGGCTACCGTTCTGTTCACTGACGAGTCCCGTTTAGCCTAAACACCTATTCTCGCCGCACTTACATATGGAGAGAGCCAGGGACCCACTACCTACCCTCTGTCCGCGAAATCAAGGATTATGGCGGTGGCAGTATAGTGGTCGGGGCAGGCATCATGTTGGATGGCCGCGTCTTTGACAGAGGCTCTGTGACTGGTGTGAGGTATAGGGATGAGGTCTTGGAGCCCTATGTTCGCTTTTTTGGGGTGCAGTTGGTCCCGAGTTCATCTTACAGGCCGATAACGCGAGGCCACATAGAGCTCTTCTGGTCGACGAATCTCTCAGTGAGGATATTCGCCGGATGGATTGGGCATGTGTGGGACACTCTGGGGAGCATGTATAGGATACATGTCTGGGAGAGAGAGCATGTCTATATCTGGGCTCTCTCTATTCGGAAGCCAGGAGAGAGCATGTCTGGGACACTTTGGGGAGGGCAATTGCAACTCGCATTTACTCGCTTTTCAAACGCTGATTGGTTTCGCCAAAGAAGGAAAACATTTCAAATTTAGCGTTCGCTCAAATTTTAAGCAATTCCATGCAATAAAGTGAGAAGCTCCGCACCCCAAAGTTTGTTCTTAATTTCTCATTCCGATTCACTACAAAATTTGCATATATTTTCGGACTATTTGATTTTGTAAAACAAATATAGTTGAATTTGAAGGCAAAATAAAAGAATAACATTTTAATTATTATTGAAGAAGTCCAACAACAAGAATCAGCGTAATATTTGTTCATTTTGCAGGACTAGTTTGGATGGTTTAACTACAGAACCATCTTCCTTTGTGCACCATATCTTATCACCATAACTTATCTCTTTTATTTGTACTTAGGCAGCTGAGGAAGGTGGTTAATCGAAACTAGTCCTGCAAAATTTACAAAATTACTGATTCTTCTTATTTGACTTCTCCAATAATCATTATTCGACGCGTTATTTTAACCTAAATAACATTTTGATATAAAAGTAATCAAATGAAAATCTTATAAAAAAGAAAGAAGTAAGATTGTTTTCTTTTTCATTTTCAATGATCAGACACAAACTATGGCAGGAGTGAAGTGGCAAATCAGGGTTAATCTAAAAGTGCTAGATATCTGAGGGCATTCAGTAAAATCTTGATATCGGATACCTATAAATGTATCAAAGTTTTGGATACAAGCATGTACTGAGAACTTAAGCACCATAAATCTTGTCATAGATATCAATACTCGAAGAACCAGTAAAAAAGTACACTTATCGGAAAATATTAGTCGTGAAAAGGATCATTCTCGACAATGTATTTTCAGAACTGTAGAAGCGATAGCCAGCATAACGAAATTTATTGAAAGGTTCATTTTGTCTGCGGATTCATACAAGTACCTACACATGCTTAATAACATCTGCGCAGAACCTCAACCAAATGTTATAATGCTTACATTTGTGTTAATTTTAAAAATAAAAATTAAAAATAAATAAAAAATATTTTCAAAGAGGAAATGGCACAGGTCTGTATTTTTTTAGGACCATTGTTAAATAGAAATCTATATTGTTCCTTTTTAAGTTACTTTACAGCTTCAAGTTTTAAACTAATAACAAACAATTAAACAACTTAACAATTAAATAACTTAATAGTATTCACATATACAATAAGACGAACAGAAATTTCAATACCTTGCAAATTTAACTATTTAGTTCTCTTTACTACACTTTTTAAAAACATTTTTGTTTCTATGAATGCGGAAAAACACTCGAAATTTATCTGCCTAAGGAGAAGAATATCTGCATGGAAGACTTTTCGAAGGAAACTTGTTCAGTCATGTACACATGGGGAAAACCAAAATGAATTGTACTCGAAGAAGACGAGAATAACTAATACTTTATTACTGAAAATGCTTCAGTTAGCCTTTATTTCTTGTACATGTTTTCGCCGTTTTCAGACCAAAAGGTAAGAATCTTCAGAGTAATTCGAGAGTTGCTTACTGTTACTGAGAGTGAGCTGTAATTTGTTTTCGAAATTGATTCATCTTAGTACGTGAGGTGTCCGGATAAAACGAGCGTCTTGTAGTACAATATACATATTTCCCCCATCTGAAAAAAAAAAGAAAAGACATTTTTAAAATTCTAAATTTAATTTTTCGTAGGCTTTCATTTAACAGGCGAAGAAAAGCGTCCTAAAATCAGTGTACTAACAGTAAATCGTAAGTCTTAATTTTAAATTAATTAAGCAGTTTCTATTTTAAATTTACCACTTTGTTTTTTTCTTCCCCTCAACAACTCAGAAGATGTAATTTAAAAAAGAGGAAAAAAAGAAAGAAAATTTAAGCAATAGACGATAGTATAGAAGTTGGTAGATAAATCTAACAAGATAACTCTGCGCCACTACATCTAAGCTGGAAGTAGTGATTGAAGTTGCTTGCAGAGCAAAAACATTTGCTGTTAATATTGTTGTTACTTTTAACTGATGCCGTGAATCTCAGATCTTGGAGTACAACATACGCATAGTTTTTATGTTTTAGCAAATAAAAACTAATGAAAATAATTTAGTATTATTTTCATTAGTTTTAAATTTTGCAATAAAAATTGCAATTTTTAGTTTTTAATAATAGAAAATAACCGCTTTATTACATATATTAAAAAAAAAAAAAAAAAAAAAAAAAAAGGAAATACTTTCTCATATATAAATGATGCTCATAAGTAAATTAAATATAAAGATTCCGAATTTTATGCGACATAATTTCTTGGGCGTTAAACCAACATGTAATCGTGTATATGTTACCTTCCAATTTAATTGAAAATAAAGCACACTATTACGTCTAATGAAGCCATTTTATTATATTAATAAAACTAATAAAAGCACGTATGTAATCGGTCTCTTTTTCCATCTGGTTTATTTTTTATATAGATTGATTACTGGTCAAGTTAGCCTTCAACCGGAGTGTTAGCTGTATGGAGTTTTGATTCCAACTCATCGGAAGAAACTAGGGAAGTGGCAGTTAGATGAGTTCGTTTGGACTGTCCACATATAGTTCGTAAACATGTTAATGATGACAGGAAATCGTGGTTTACAGAAGATTTGAGCACACGCATCACTTTAAGCAATCATGAAAGGACAAAACTGTATAGCGTTGTATAAAAAAAAAAGGAAATTTCAGCTAATCTGTAAGTTAATATGAGAAGCCATAATATATATGGGCCGCCGCTAAATAAATAAACAAACTGAAAATATAGATATCAATACAGAACCATATGAAAAGCTGAAAGTGAATATATCAATTAAAAATATACAAATCAGTACGACGCTGAATATGGGTAACAGCGTTGAATGCAGAGGGAAGAGAGGAAAGTGTGCCGCTGTACTTTTATTGTTGTAGGATACTTACGTTGTGGACGTGTTTCAGGCAGACTGCATGTGGCCTCATGTGGCTGAGTAGGCAATCGCACAGTGTGTAATGACTGAGCCAATTTTATTTTGTTCAGATCTGTTACTATAAATGTTAGCTGCCCACACTGACCAGTTTGTAGAAGCTGGCTTTTAAGGTGGTACCTTGAGCAGTCAAATGCGTAGTAGTCCACCGTACGTTCCCTGCCGCATACACAGAGATCTATGTTGCTGCGCCAGAAGTGGTATACATATGCTGGGAATAGACCGTGTCCAGCGAAGTACTGTGTTAGAGAAAAGGAGCTACTGTATAACTATGTTGCCACATTGAAAAGAAAAGGAACGTTCTGCATCCCGTGGTGGCTGTAAGCCATCTGTCCTGCTACCTTTTGAGCAAGCGCTCCTGAGTGATCCGTTTACGATCGGAACGAGAATTGAAATCACTACATCTTCGACATTGTTATTGACTGTAATGCAGTTGTTATTGACTGTAATGCAGTACAGTTAATGCGAAATTCTGTAATCAAAATACATAGCAGAAAAATAAAAGCTTTCTGTTAATTATGTTAATGATATACAGTAAAATGTGATTAATCTTCAAAGAATGTCAACATTGTTTGTAAATAGCAAGAAAAACGTAGCAAAGAAACACAGCGGATTAACAGCAAATATGCTATTAATAAGCTATATAGTAAATATGCTATATATGTTTGTTGTAAATAACAAGGAAATCACAGCAAAGAAACACAGCGGTGGAGTAACAAATATGATATTAATAAGCTATATAGCAAATATGCGTCCACCAGCGGCCGAGCGGTAAAAGTCGCTGAACACTGGTAGTTATGTTCGAGGTTCGAATCCTGCGAACGGTCTGTCAGCATAGGCGTTTTCGTGGTTTTCCCCATGTGTAACGTGTATATACGAGCCAGTTTCCCTTAGAAAATCCTCCACGAAGGCATCCCTCCCCTTAGGTAGATACCCTTCAAGGCTTTGCGATAATCGCATAAATCAAACCAAACCAATGGCAAATATGCTATAAATATTTCTAAATAACAAGGAAATCGTAGCAAAGAAACGCAGCGAATGAATAGCAAATACGCTACTACTAATAATCTAGATGCCAGTGAAAAATTCCACAGCATTATTAAGAAGTGCATCTGTTATTTTTAATCGATTCACTCTGCTGTAGTGTCATGCAGATACTACAATAACTTAGAAGAAAGCTAATAAGAAAATCTGAAGTTCCGATTATTGCCAACAGTTTCAAATTTTGTCTGGATCAAATCATCACTAGCAGTTTTTCCACCCACGCAGTGTAAAATAGGGCATCCTCTGGGTTTTAGTAAATAAGTTACCAAAAATAACTGTTAAAGAATTTTTATACTTTAAATTCATGAAACAAAATTGTTATCTGTATTAGAAATGAGAAGTAGCAAAGAATTTCAGTAACTCTTGTTTCTAGCTGATGTTTATAGTAGGCAAAGGAAAGTAAAAGCATTAAAACAGATGGAAAAAAAAAAGAATTTATAGTCATTTTACGACCCATAAATACTTGAAAGCATATGATCTGGAATAAACTGTAACTGGGAATAATATATCTAGAATAAAGGAGTAGCGGCGAGAAATTAATGAGCTATATTTAACAAAATTCAAGAAGTTTATCTTCGAATAACTTATTTATGGTTATATTCATAATTTTCAGTGCTGTGATTCTAACAAAATATGCAAAGTTTTTGCTAGTGATAAGTTGCTTGTCGTACAATTATTCATCGAAAATTAAATCGTTTTGAAATGTATTAATTCTGTATTTTGGTGTAGCTCTAAACAATATTAAGTTAATAAAACTGCAGAGTTTTTTATTGTATTCCAAAACGATCTCCTGTGGCTCTCTTAGATCTAAACTAGGGGTCTTCAACCTTTCACGCACGAGGGCCACATCAATAAATCCACAAAGATATGCGCGCCACATGTCTGTCGAAAAAATAGCGTAGTCAGAAAATAAATATAAAAAAGGGAGATTTGTTTTGCAAGACTACAATTGATCCTAAGCGAAAAGATGGTATAACAGATTTGTATATATATAGATATGCATTGATTCCAAAGAGTCAAATGGAAATCGAAATAAAGTGTTTTGCAACTTTTTTAACTATTAAAAAAAGTACAAAGATGATTGTACAGAACGATGTTACAAAATGCATTTACAATAAAAAAAAAGTAAAAACCTAGCTTACTGGCGGAAGATGTAAGTTACTTTAATTTTAATGTGAAATTTGACATTTTTTTTTTTTTTTAGCTTGATTGAAAAGCTTCAATATCCGGTTTGATCTCTGTTGTTGCAATTCGTAAAGTTTCGTCCAAATTTCTGTTAGCTGTGTTCTGGTTTTCGATTTTAGGATTTTCATGCTACTAAAAAGCTGTTCACATATGTAGGTACTGCCAAAAATAGAAGACATGAAGAGTGCATGTTTACGAATTCCTGGATACTTGTCTTCGGTCACGTACTTCAAATAAAAATCAATTAATGTGGGATTTTCAAGAAACTTGCATTTTACTGCAGAGTAACACTGTAAATCTGTAAATTATAATTGAAGTTCAGGTGGAACGCTTCCAACGTCTACTGAACATGACGAGGAGAACACTCTGATAAAAATTTCATTTTCACGAATATCGGAAAATCTACTTTTGAATTCCTCTTTCAAATTTGAAATGCATTGTACATAATTAATTGAATTACATGTTTTAGAGTTCTTCACATACTCCATCAGTTTCGGAAAGTTAGTAAAATTCTTATTTAGCAACTGACTTTCCCACTGAATTAATTTCGTCTCAAAAGATTCCACAAAGTAATAAAGTAAGCGGTAGTTCAAATCATTGAGATGACCTGTAACATCGACAAGAAATGCGAAGACTCTCAACCATTTCTCCTCACAGAACCATTGAATAGATTTCCCTCTAAATTCCATGAATTGTTGAACTTCGCTCTTCAAAGACAAAAGGCGCTGAAGCGTCTTTTCTCTGCTCAACCAACGAACTTCCTCATAATACACAATATCAACATATTCAGCTTCCAAATTACTCAAGAACTGTTGAAATTGCCTGTGATTAAGTCCTTTAGACAGAATGAAATTAACCACTTTTACAACAACATTCATCACATGTTCAAAGTTTGAGAAGGACTTTTGCACAAATTTTCTTGGTGGATGATGCGGTGGAAAGTCATCACAGTATTATCTCCACTTGTCTTCACATCAGATTTGTGTAATGTTATTGTGTAATGCTTTTTTTTTTCCAGTCATATATTTAGCACCATTCGTGGCATAGCAGATATATTACTGAATTCTAACTCACATTTATCCAAAGTTTAGATCAGACTCGAATACAAATCTATTCCTCGTGTTGTACCTTTAAGTGCAACGACACTGGCTAATTCCTCTACAATTATGAAGTCTATCAACGCCGCGAATAAAAATGGCTACTTCTGTAGTATCTGTTGCATATTTTGAGTCATCCATTGCTACAGAATAAAACTCAGATTTTTTGCATTTGAATTTCAATTTACTGAATATATCTGTTGCGAGATCCTGTATGCGTCTCACTACTGTCACACCGGGCAAGATAATATTTGATGTGACTTGAGCCTGTGATGGAGAAAGCACATCAACTGCATTCTGAAGACATTCTTTTACAAATTCTCCATCAACAAAGCTTA